TACAAGGGAAAAAAGGGAATTTATGTTTTTTTAAGGGTGACGGAACGTATCATATGGGGGAAAAACGAGAGAGCCACGAGCCCGGGGAGCATTTTTGTAGGTAATTTAAAGGCGTTTACCGCTCTTAAAAGCATGAAAAAAAAATATCTTTACCAAAAATGGCGTAGGAGTGCCTTGCCCAAAACTATGGTCAGAAAGTAGGGAGTAGGGGAAGTTGGTCGCAAAAATGAAGAATTTAATTTCCCCTGTTTTAGTCAAAAAAATGAGGTGGAAAGGTAAATGAAGGACTTTTTCGATCTTTTCTGAGAAGAACGGAAGGTGAAGGTGGAGAAGTAAACATCAAAAGGTAATTGTGTTGACGTTTAGGCGTGGGACCAGAGTTGGTCCGACGTGGAACGGGTCGGCATTTGAAAATTGCCGACCGTAGAGGGAGAGGGGGGGAAGCATAGCAGAGGAGAGCAAGGTTGAAAAAAATCGAAGGAAATCAGTCGAGGGCCCCAGTACCCTTTAAGCAGGTGAGGAAAAAAGCACCGGCAATTTGGTACGAGGCATGGGAATGTCTTGGGAAAAGTGGTCCAAAGGGCGAGGCGGGGTCAAAAAACGGGGTGCGGTATCAAGGGAAAGGGGCCCCCCGGGGGGTTAAAAAGGGTTTATGGACTAAAGGGCCCGCCCCTGGTTAGGTTACTTTTTTCTTTTTGTTTTTTAAAAAAAAAAAAAAAGAAAAAAAAAGAAAATAAAAAAAAAAAAAAAAAAAAAAAAGGGGGGGGGGCCCGGGGGGGGGGTAGTTCCTAAGGGAATTAAAGGGCCAAAAAAATCTCCCTCCGCCCCAAGAGGGGCCGACAAAAGCTAGTAGCGAGATGCAGCATGGAACCCGTGCCATACCCCCACCCTTCATGCCAGTAAACCAGCAATCTGGGATAGCAACCTCAAATCTGCCGAGCTAAACCCCGGTGGACAAAAAAGGGGGGGGCGGCCGGATATTCCGCCACAAAGCATAAACCCCCTTCGCCACCACCCCCCCCGGGAAACCCCAAAGGTGGCTTCCCCCAAAATACCCCGTCGCCCCAAAAGACACCCAAATTAAATCCCGGGGAACCCGGGGAGGGGTGGGACATCCCTAGGGAATCCAGGGTTCCACGGCCCAAAATACGGGCCCCCCCGCCAAGAAACCTCAAAAGGAAAAAGGGATCGACCCCCCTTGTCCTTTTCCTCTACCTAGGAAAATAGCGTTGCCGTGGGGAAATCCCCAAAAAACAAAAAGAGGGAAAGGGGAAAAGGGAGGAGTTTGGGGGGGGAGGAAGGAAAGGGGAAAAAGGGGAGGGGAATTTGGGGGGGGATGGGAAAAGGGGAGGGGAAAAAATTGGGGGGGTTAAAAAGGGGTTTGGGGCTGGGAAGAAAAACCGAAAGGTCTAATTTCCCCAGACCCCAAAAGCCTCCCTTTACCACGCCAAGGAGCCCCCCTGAAAAAAGGTGCCCCCCTGGGAAAAACCCGTTTATGATTTTCCCGTACTTTTTTCATGTCCTCTAAACCCTAAATGACTTTCATACTTTTTTAGTGTAAATTTCAAATGATTTATACAAAAGTGTGCTGGGGTTTTTTGTCTATGTCTGGGGGGGGGGGGGGGAGGATGAGGATCAGCAGAGGTGCCAGGACAGTGCCTTTTGGGGGACTGAGCTTTTGACCTACTGATGCTGGGGTCTTTTCCCTGTTCCTACTACTTTTTTTTGTTCTGGTGTTTTGGAAACTGAAAAATTCCCTCTGCCCACCTTCCCCCTAATGCCCATGGCCTTCATTTTTTTTGGGGCTAAACACTCCATGATCACATTTGTCAAAACCTTTGCCCAAAAACTGTGTAAAAACACATCTTTCGTTTTTGTTGTCTTCCCAGTGCCCCCCGGGAATTTTGTCATAATGGCTCGCAGCTGTGAAAAGACATGATGTCCTGCTCTAAAAAAAAATGCTGGTTCGGGTTATGTTGGGTTTTGCTGGTCCATTAAATTTGGGAACCTGGGGGTCTCATCAATCTTTCAAAGATTTTTATGATGTGAGAGGTTAGGGCTACTGGTCTGTAATTTTTAGCTACTGCTCTACTGCCTCCCTTGTGCAAAGGAGCTATGTCTGCACTCTTTAAGGCCTCCGGTATTTCACCTAGATCTAAGCTCTTTCTCCAAAAAATACTGAGGGCTCGTGCTAGTGGTACTTTCCACTTCTTTATAAATAGAGCATTCCATGAATCTGGTCCAGATGCTGAGTGAGTGGGCATGTTTTCCATTTCTTTTTCGAAATCTATGGGATTTGTACTAATGTCAGTTAGTTGGTCTGTGCGGCCTTCTTCTGGAGTGAAAAATATTTCTGCATTTTCTACCTTGCTGTCATTTAGTGGGTTGCTGAACACCAACTCATACTGTTCTTTAAGGATTTCACTCATTTCCTGTTCATCGTCAGTATATGAGTCTCCTCTCAGTAGTGGTCCAATTCTACAGGTAGTTCTTAGCTTGGATTTTTGCATAGGAATAGAAATATTTTGGGTTTCTTGCAATATCCTGTATGGCCTTTTGCTCCCTTTGTACTTCTTCTGTGAGGTATGACATCCTAAGTTTTTGCTCTAATTCAGTGATCTTGCAGCTAAGATCACTGAAAAAAATACTTAAAGAATGATGATTTATCAATGAGGTTCCATACTAGTTCTTTTTCTCAGAACATATCACATGGGATATTCAGAAATAAATACATATTAGTAAAAAAAATTAAATGCTATTTATTTGTTTTATAAAGTTGCAGGAGATATGGGGGGGAGAGAGGGGGAGAGAGAGAGAGAGAGAGAGAGAGAGAGAGAGAGAGAAGAGAGAGAGAGAGAGAGAGAGTGAGAGAGAATGAGTGAAAGTGAGTGAGTGTGAGAGTGTGAGAGTGAGAGAGTGAGTGAGTGAGAGTGAGTGAGAGTGAGTGAGAGTGAGTGAGAGTGAGTGAGTGAGAGTGAGTGAGAGTGAGTGAGAGTGAGTGAGAGTGAGTGAGAGTGAGTGAGTGAGTGAGTGAGTGAGTGAGTGAGTGAGTGAGTGAGTGAGTGAGAGTGAGTGAGTGAGTGAGTGAGTGAGTGAGTGAGTGAGTGAGAGGAGAGAGAGAGAGAGAGAGAGAGAGAGAGAGAGAGAGAGAGAGAGAGAGAGAGAGAGAGAGAGAGAGAGAGAGAGAGGAGAGTGAGAGAGAGTGAGAGAGAGTGAGAGTGAGAGTGAGAGAGAGTGAGAGAGAGTGAGAGGAGAGTGAGAGAGAGTGAGAGAGAGTGAGAGAGAGAGTGAGAGAGAGTGAGAGAGGGAGAGAGAGTAGAGAGAGTGAAGTGAGAGAGAGAGAGAGAGGAGAGAGAGAGAGAGGAGAGAGAGTGAGAGAGAGTGAGAGAGAGTGAGAGAGAGTGAGAGAGAGAAAAAAAAAAAAACTCCTAAACTGATACAATCTTATCTATTCACTGAATTTATACTCTCAAACAATGTCAATTTTCTATGGATAACTTTCAATTACAGTGGACCCCCGCATAGCGACTTTAATCCGTGCAAGAGGGCTCATTGTTATGCGAAATGATTGGTATGCGAATGAATTTTCCCCATAAGAAATAATGGAAATCAAATTAATCCGTGCAAGACACCCAAAAGTATGAAAAAAAAAATTTTACCACATGAAATATACATTTTCCTACACACAAAGAGAAGGATACATGCACAATAGTAGAGTAGTACATGCACAATATATATTGTGCATGTACTACTCTACTAAATGAAGAATAAATGACACTTACCTTTTATTGAAGATGCAGCAATGACTGATGAGACACTGTGCCCTGGGAGTGCCTTTTCCTTCTGAGTACTGTAGGTCCTGTTTGGCATTTTCTTCCAGAACAGGCCTTATCACACTGTGTATGCACTACGATTCTTAAATCTCTCAAACCAAACCTTTGCTGGCTTTAAATTCACCAATATGAGCACTAGTTCCAGGCATTTTTCCCTGTTCACCTGGGTGTTAGTCGACTGGTGTGGGTTGCATCCTGGGAGACAAGATTAAGGACCCCAATGGAAATAAGTTAGACAGTCTTCGATGACACTGACTTTTTTGGGTTATCCTGGGTGGCAAATCCTCTGGGGTTAATTGTTTCTTGGTATTCTCAATAAGCCACACCAACAACGGTGCTACAGCAGCAGCAGCAGCAGCTGACAGTGCTACAGCAGCAGCAGACGGTACTACAACAGCAGCTGACGGTGGTACAGCAGCAGCAGCAGCTGACAGTGCTACAGCAGCAGCAGACGGTACTACAGCAGCAGCAGACGGTACAGCAGCAGCAGCAGCAGCTGACGGTGGTACAGCAGCAGCAGCAGCTGACAGTGCTACAGCAGCAGCAGACAATGCTACAGCAGCAGCAGACGATGCTACAGCAGCAGCAGACGGTGCTACAGCAGCAGCAGCAGCAGCAGCTGACAGTGCAGCAGCAGCAGCTGACGGTGGTACAGCAGCAGCAGCAGCTGTACCACCAATAGTAGCGATGGTTGATTGGGGTTTATTATACAACCTGGCCAGCTCGGAGACACGCACTCCACTTTCATACTTATCAATGATCTTTTTCTTCATCTCTATAGTAATTCTCACCCTTATTGCTGTAGGGTTGGCACTAGAAGCTTTCTTGGGGCCCATGGTCACTTATTTTGCAGATAAAATCACCAAAAACACTGTAATAATACGAAATGTTCCGATTGTATGCTTGGATGTTACCGCGGAGGCTGGCTGGTAAACAATGCCACCGGCGGCACATGTGAGGCTGGCTAAGGGCGCACATTGGACGCGTCTCGGACGAAGAGCGGTGAGCGGGTTTTTGAGCGGTATGCGAGGCAAAATTTTTGCGATAAAAGCGAGCGGTATGCGGATTGTACGTTATATGATGGCGACAGTATGCGGGGGTCCACTGTATAAATAAAAAGATAAGCATATAGGATATAAATATAGAGATGAACAAGACAACAAAAAATTTAAATTATTTCATTTATTCATAAAAGTTTTGGTCCATTAGATATATTATGCCAATCATCATTCGAATACAGTGTACATTTATTGAGATTGAAAGTCAAGTTTTTTATATATCGTATTGCATTTGTACAAAGCTGATCTTATATGAAAGACCCTTTGAATTCAAACTAATCAAGTATTACATATTTTTGTGTTACAAACTAAGAAAAGGTTATACTGTACATTTTAAGCAGTGTGTTAAAAATCTAAAAAATGTCATATAATACAGTAATGCCAAAATACGTACTCCACATTAGTAGAAAAACATTTCTAGTATATTCATATACTTAAATAATTTAAGCAAGAATCACTCCAATTAATTTATTCTAAATACATTTATATTTTTATAATTTATCCACATATTGAACTAAGACCAATCATTAATCAGTTTATCATGAGATTATTAAAAAAAGGTAATAAACATGAAAAAATAAATTAACCTAGATATCACAACTTATAATACAATATTTTTAAGTATGAAAGCTTTGTGGAAGGCTCTATGAACCACTACTGCAATTTCAATGTCTGTAAACCTCTTACTACAACATTAATGGACTATACAAGTTTTTGTCAACTTAGCCTTCAGCTTTCTCTCTGAAGCACACCTGCACTTCCTTGTCTGCAGCACCAGATGTACAAGCTTTAAGCATCAGTTAATATAACCTAAGAAGGAACAGCTGACACTGGGAGGCGGCAAACACCGTGGTTCATGGAACCTTTAACAAAATAAATCATACTTTAAACCATTGTATGCTGAGATCAGGCTCTATGAGCCCCTACTGGAACCTACCTATCACCAGCACCCAATTTAAAGAAGCAGCCAGCTGGATACCAAAAACTGGTAAATTCAAAGTAAAACTGAACTGAGCAGAAAGCTCTCAACCTTGTGCTCCGAGTGATTTTTGAAAACACTATGCTAGAATCTTATCAGGGAGGTTAAAAGTAGAGGATCTCTTATTACAGATTATTATGATTATTATAATCATGGGGAAGTACTAAACCCATAGAATTATATAGTGTATGTGGGGGGGGGGGAATGGAAGGTATTCAGGCTCAATTCAGGGAACTGGAGCACAGATCCAATTCCCTAGATCAAGAGCCCCTCACCAGCATCAAGGGGTCTCATTACAGATCTTGGGCCAAAGTCTTAAATCCTAAGTTAGGGGACTGGCTCCAGTTCACCTTCCTGCTAACCAGAAAATTCCTATCATTGCATGAAGCAACTTTTGAAACCCCATCATTACAATGGAGATCTAACAATGTCAGGATTTAGAGACACCACTAATTTAGTGATGGCTAACAGAATGGTCATTCTAGTATGCTTCATATTTATACCAGCAGAGGCCATAATATCCCAGAACTTTAATATTATATCAGGACGGGATATTACTTTCAACCTGTTTATAGCTCAGGCCATGTTGCATCAGATACCCATAAGAACAGTATTTCATCACTGCTTACTGATGGTCACCCTAACGTAAAGTAGAAAGGGAAGAGCAGGATTCATCCCTGTATTAGGTAAGGGCACTGATATCTATGTACAAAAATTCAGGGGAGTCCAAAGTACAGAAAATCCCTCTGTGGAAATGCTCTTAGAACAATTCTCCTGAAGATCTAGCACAGCTACCTGCAAAAAGTAACATACCTTAATGTATTGCACGTTGATGTCACAAGGTGATTTACTGTAGTGGAGGAACAGGGTTACAGTAAAGATGTGAGGTAGACATACTCTTAATCTTCATGCCCTTCATTATGAGTTCTAAAGGCACACAAGCTGACAATAGCAGGAACCCTGATACACCTATAGTGTCATGGGACTCTATTCTGGAAAGAATCCTGCCTTAGAGTTTATCCCAATATAAATCTACTGATAGTTGAAATGAGTCACGAACTAGCAACAAGACCTGAAGCAAGATTAACAGAGAATCCAGTCTGTAGGCAGTTTGTTGACTATACCTTGTACAAAATAGTCATACCTGAATAGCATAGAACTAATTAAACAAGTAATTTGAACTCATATTAGTCGAGATTCACAGAAACTGAACCAGACTCAGGTTAGGTTGGTAGTAACAGTATCTGCATTCGGAAGGATGAGTGAAAGGCTCATAAAAAGCCATGAATGTGGAGCAATGTGGTCCTAGTCTTCCTACTTTCCTATTAAGACTTAGCAGGATGCAAAATTCCTGCACTAGGTGCCACTCATAGTGAAACCCTGGTTTCCAGTCAATGGGTTCTTTGGGTCCAATGTTGAAAGTGACTCTCCTTGGAGTGAACAGCAGCTTAATGTCCAAATGCCCTTAATATTTTCATCTATGGAGGAACCTGCAGGAGGAAGTACTACATATTTCAAGCCTAAAAGAGCCAAAGCTAACTTAATGCTAATCATGACCCAATGCACAGGAAATAATGATAACATGAAATAGAAGAAGAGTTCATCTCAGAACACAATTCTATAAGTTGATCCTCTGCCAAAACAAACAAATACCCACTCACTCTCACCCGCCCTCCATCTCCCACCCGCTCTCCATCTCACTCACTCTCTAACACACACTAATACTCTATCTCTAACTCCCTCTCAGCCTTCACAGATGCAGTCTCAGCCCTTGTACAATACATAGCATTTCTAACATGAATCTTGGTCCTACCTTTTTCTGTTGATGTTAGCCTTTCCCAGTCCCATATATTGTTACATGCTGTATCTTCAGAATGCACATGTCTTGACCTGACCTTGACTTTCTCCTTACCTCTTCTGATCTAGTCTTGTCTTCACATGACCTGTCTCCTAACTTTCTCATCTCTTTACCTGACCTGCCTTCTTTTTTCACAATTTTCTCTCATTTGCAACTTATTAGACCAGGACAAACATGTAAAGTGTCCTCTCCAAATTATGTGTTAGCTGTGAATTGTTGCAGCCATATTACATGGTTTCTTCCTCTATACAATTGCATACACATATTATACTCATGTGTGAAATACAGCAGCAGCAGCAGCAGCAGCAGCAGCAGCAGCAGCAGCAGCAGCAAATGATTCCTACCCAAAATATTGATAACTTTTACAGACAGTATAGCGAGTTACAATATAAGTAAAAAACATAATGAGCTTTGATATTCTCATGCTGATGTGGGATTATTGGTTGGGATGTGTGTCATACTCATAGGTAATACACCTGCTGACCAAACCTGTGATTTACCAAAGTTGACATGAAATTAATCAGCCAAACTCGGTTATCATGGGTAGTTCCTCCAGAAAAGCACCCTGGGAGTGTAACAGGTTTTTGAGCAATGAATGCCTAAACATCAAAGGGCTCATCCTGTTAAATGTAACTGGCACTTTGATTAAGAATGAGGAACTCATGTTTCAGTGTGACTAAGCATTCCCTGTGTCGGAAAAAAAAAAAAACAGGCATGACAGGGTGACATAAAATGAACACGGAATTGCGAAGAACAGTCAACTGGGAAAAGAAATGACAATCTCGACCAATCTTGACAAAGTCCTCATCAGCACTATCTGATGTTATGTCAACAATTGAAAACAATGACGGAATCTACATCAGAGGTACACCTATCACCATCAAAAATCTGAATAAGATCCTGGGCTATGAGACAGACAGATTACTCCATTTTTCATCACGTCACCAAAAATGTAAACTTAGCAAGTCTGCCTCAGCCAGATATACACATTTAATAAGGCCTCTCCTCACATATCAAGAAGCACCTATATAAGATGATGATGAGACCTATGCTTGAAATATCCTTGTGTGCCCATGTCACTAACAATGAAAAAACACATTACAGCTGTAGAGTCCACAACAAGGCACTCTGCTTTATCACAGGCACTAGACTGAGGGACAGAATCAGAATGGAAGCACTGCCTATCCAAAAGATCAACGCGATAAATATCAGGCTTGACAACTATATGCCGTGCAAGAACTCTACATATCAGACAGAGAAACCCACCCCAGCCAACTAACACCACTAACATCATCAATACACCTCTCCATAGGACACAGGAAGTCCCTCCAACAAAGAATCTGATGTTTCATATATAAGGAGGACTTCTCAAGACCAAAGATTCTGAGTAATCTCCCTGAAGATATAGAAGAATGGGTACCACCAGAGCAAATCTATGTTCAAAACAGATAAAACTACCCTGACATCTAACCAAGTAGCATCTGAAAACTACCTATGGGAGGACATTGCCCCAGAATCAGATCAGCCTACCACCAGCTCTAGCAAGAGCCCTACAACCAGCCCAAACATCTTGTTCCTAAAAAAAAAAAAAAAAAAAAAAAAAAAAAAAAAAAAAAAAAAAAAAAAAAAAAAAAAAAAAAAAAACCACCACCATGCATCTATGCATCATATATACAAGTGTGTGTCTGATGGGCGGTGTGGTATACACGATCATCTTAACATAACACACACCTCTTTTTTTTAACACGTCAGCCGTCTCCCACAAGGCAGGGTGACCCAAAGGAAAGAAAAAACTTTCATTACCAGTCAACACTTTCACCATCACTCATACATAATCACTGTATTTGCAGAGGCACCCAGATATGACAGTTTAGATAGTCACTCCAAACTGCCAATATCCCAAACCCCTCCTTTACTTCCTTTACTTTAAAGTGCAGGTATTGTACTTTCCATTTCCAGGAATCAAGTCCGGCTAACTGGCTTCCCTGAATCCCTTCACAAAATATTACCCTGCTCACACTCCAACAGCTCGTCAGGTCCCAAAAACCATTCGTCTCCATTCACTCCTATCTAACACGTTCACACATGCTTGCTGGAAATTCCAGCCCCTCGCCCACAAAACCTCCTTTACCCCCTCCCTCCAACCTTTTCGAGGACAACCCCTACCCCGCCTTCCTTCCCCTACAGATTTATACATTCTCCAAGTCATTCTACCTTGTTCCATTTTCTCTAAATCACCAAACCACCTCAACAACCCCTCTTCAGACCTCTCACTAATACTTTAAGTAACTCCACACCTCCTCCTAATTTCCACACTATGAATTCTCTGCATAACATTTACACCACACATTGCCCTTAGACAGGACATCTCCACTGCTTCCAGCCACCTCCTCGCTGCAGCATTTACAACCCAAGCTTCACACCCATATAAGAGTGTTGGCACCACTATACTTTCGTACATTCCTTTCTTTGCCTCCATTGATAATGTTTTTTGTCTCCACAGATACCTCAAAGCACCACTCACCTTTTTTCTATCATCAATTCTATGGTTAACCTCATCCTTCATAAACCCATCCACTGACAAGTCAACTCCCAAATATATCTGAAAACATTCACTTCTTCCATACTTCCTCTCTCCAATGTGACGTCTAATTTTTATCTAAATCGTTTGAAACCCTGATCACCTTACTCTTATCTATATTCACTTTCAACTTTCTACATTTACACACCCTCCCAAACACACCCTCCCTAACCTTTGTAACTTTTCTTTAGAATCTCCTAAAAGCACAGCATCATCAGCAAAAAGTTACTATGTGAACTCCCATTTTGTATTTGATTCCCCATAATTTAATCCCACCCCTCTCCCCAACAGCCAAGCATTTGTTTCTTTTACGACCACCAGGAGGATTTGTGTGCAAGGGGCTTGGACTTCCAGCAGGCGTGCGTGAGCGTGTTTGATAGGAGTGAATGGAGACGAATGGTTTTTAATACTTGACGTGCTGTTGGAGTGTGAGCAAAGTAACATTTATGAAGGGGTTCAGGGAAACCGGCAGGCCGGACTTGAGTCCTGGAGATGGGAAGTACAGTGCCTGCACTCTGAAGGACGGGTGTTAATGTTGCAGTTTAAAAACTGTAGTGTAAAGCACCCTTCTGGCAAGACAGTGATGGAGTGAATGATGGTGAAAGTTTTTCTTTTTCGGGCCACCCTGCCTTGGTGGGAATCGGCCAGTGTGATAAAAAAAAAAAAAAAATAATAAAAATCTATAAATATATTAAACCACCATGGTGACATTACACATCCCTGTCTAAGACCTACTTTTACCGGGAAGTAATCTCCCTCTCTCCAACACACCCTAACCTGAGCCTCACTATCCAAATAAAAACTCTTTATAGCATTTAGTAACTTACTACCTATTCCATATACTTGCAACATCTGCCACATTGCTCCGTTATTCACTCTATCATATGCCTTTTCTAAATCCATAAATGCAATGAAAATTTCCATACCTTTATCTAAATACTGTTCACATGTATGCTTCAATGTAAACGCTTGATCTACACATCTCCTACAAAATCTAAAGCCTCCTTGCTCATCTGCAATCCTGCTCTTTGTCTTACCTCTACTTCTTTCAATAATAACCCTGCTGTACACTTTACCTGTTATACTCAGTAAACTTATTCCCCTATAATTTTTACAATCTCTCTTGTCCCCCCTCCCTTTATATAAAGGAACTACAGTAGGGTCCCACTTATATGGCAGGTTAGGTTCCAGGCTACCGCTGTAAAGCAGAAGCCACCGTAAAGTGGAACACCCTTTTTTCATTTATAAATGCATATAAATACTAGATGATAACAAGTTTACACTAACATATATTAAGTTTGCAATAGAACTTGGCATTAAAAAACAGTAAAAAAGTAAAATACACAGAGTACACTCATTACTCTAGGGTGAGATGAGTAGCATTAATTGTAAGAAATCAAGTGTGGTATGTATGGTAGTCAGCCAGGCTACCACACCAGGCCACCCCACTCACACATAATATTCTACAACATTTAAGCATCCCAGAGTGATAAAATGCATATAGAGTTCACTCATTACTTACCGTAAAATATTTGTAGTCTTAATGTCAGAGGTGAGTAAACAAGATAAAACAAATATATGAGAGAGAGAGCATGAGTACATGAGAGAGGACAGGCGCGAAGTTATGTAAACAAACCAGGCATATGCATCTGGTTTGTGTACAAGTTACATTGTGTACAAGTTGTCTGTACGTTGATACGGTAGAATAAATGAAGAGGAACACTCCCATTCTCGTTTAACACCATTTTTAGAAGAAATGACACTCTGAGTGAAGGCATACAAAAGGAATAATCTTCTACAGTTACCCACAGTAACACATTTTCTCTTATGTTAGACTAGAGAAAACATTATTCTTGCCATCACTCGTACAAGTCATCTAGCTATCACATCTCATATTTATGTTAATTTTTTCTACTGTGGGGTGTATTTATCATCTTTATATATTACGTATCGTGTTTATTATATAATTTTGAAAAAATATCATGGATGGATTAATGAAAATGTGTATATTAACATAACGTATGACATTTAATGAGACTCAGTGATTATTATTGAGTACAGTGGACCCTCAAGCAACGAAGGCATTGTCTAATGATAAATTCGCTCAATGAAGCGTTTAAGCGTAAAATTTTGGCCCGGCCAACAATGAAAAACTCGACCAATGTGACTCATCCTGAACCTGTCTGTCCAGCCTGAGCACCTCAGCTGCCCTGCTGTCATTGTTTACAAGCCAGGGTGGCCGGTTCCATGCACACATTCGATACATTTTGTATTATTCCATTGTTTTTAGTGCTTGTAACTGCTAAATAAGCCACCATGGGCCCAAAGAAAGTTTCTAGTGCCAACCCTGTGATAAAAAGGGTGAAAAATACTATCGAAATACTATTGTACCATGGTCAGCTGTGCTGCACCACCATCAGCTGTACTACTTGAAGATGTGGAGACTGTTGTTGGTGTGGCTTAACGAGAAACAATTACCGAGAAACAATTAACCCCAGAGGGTTAGCCACCCAGGATAACCCAAGAAAGTCAGTGTGTCATTGAGGGCTGTCTAACTTATTTCCATTGAGGTCCTTAATCTTGTCCTTCAGGATGCGATCCACACCAGTTGACTAACACCCAGGGGAACAGGAAAAAATGCCTGGAACTAGTGCTCATATTGGTGAATTTAAGGCCAGCAAAGGTTGGTTTGAGAGATTTAAGAATCGTAGTGGCATACACAGTGTGATAAGGCATGGCGAAGCTGAAAAATTCCAACCCCAACAAGTGTTCAATTGTGACGAAACAGGCCTGTTCTGGAAGAAAATGCCGAACAGGACCTACACTACTCAGGAGGAAAAGGCACTCCCAGGACACAAGCCTATGAAAGACAGGCTAACTTTCTTGTTTTGTTGTAATGCTAGTGGGGATTGCAAAGTGAATCCTTTACTCATGTATATATCACTCTGAAAATCCCAGTGTTTTCAAGAAAAACATCAATACTCTTCAATAAAGGCAAGTGTCATTTTAACATTTATTTATATAGTTATTGTGCATGTCTCATTGTTTTCTTTGTAGGGAAATGTATATTTCGTGAAAAAAAAAATATTTTTTTTAATACTTTTGGCTGTCTGGAACAGATTAATTGGATTTCCATTATTTCTTATGGGGAAAATTAATTCGGCTAACGACAATTTTGTCTAACGATGAGCTCTCTGGAACGGATTAATATCGTTAGCCGAGGGTCCACTGTATTATTACTATCATTACTAATATGGCGTCTCGAGACGTAAGACACTCTTACTGATTTTAATGTGTACCTGCATGCCAGCACAGTGTGTAAGTATATTTAGGTACAGGTATATGCAAGTAGTATAATTATCAGAGTACTATATATAATATATAGTACTCTGTTAACCCTTAAATGGTCCAAACGTATATATACGTTTTTTCAACATCTGAAAGTATGTAAAAAAATGCAGATCTTTTTTGTTTTACATTTAAAAACGTGTAAAAAAAAATTTATCTACATTTTTTTTTTTATATTTGAAAATATGTAAAAAAAAGTAGATCTACTTTTGTAGCACTATGAATTTGAACGTCAATCTCTTTGGACCGTTTAAGGGTTAAATGTTGATGAAGATAGGGAAGCTGTGATTTCGTGTATAGGGCAAGGAGGAATAACATCTTGTAGGAGTGAGGAAGAGCCAGTTGCGAGTGTGGGGGAAGTTCGTGAGGCAGTGGGTAAAATGAAAGGGGGTAAGGCAGCTGGGATTGATGGGATAAAGATAGAAATGTTAAAAGCAGGTGAGGATATAGTTTTGGAGTGGTTGGTGCAATTATTTAATAAATGTATGGAAGAGGGTAAGGTACCTAGGAATTGGCAGAGAGCATGCATAGTTCCTTTGTATAAAGGCAAAGGGGACAAAAGAATGCAAAAATTATAGGGGGATAAGTCTGTTGAGTATACCTGGTAAAGTGTATGGTAGAGTTATTATTGAAAGAATTAAGAGTAAGACGGAGAATAGGACAGCAGATGAACAAGGAGGCTTTAGGAAAGGTAGGGGGTGTGTGGACCAGGTGTTTACAGTGAAACATATAAGTGAACAGTATTTAGATAAGGCTAAAGAGGTCTTTGTGGCATTTATGGATTTGGAAAAGGCATATGACAGGGTGGATAGGGGGGGCAAAGTGGCAGATGTTGCAGGTGTATGGTGTAGGGGGTAGGTTACTGAGAGCAGTGAAGAGTTTTTACAAGGATAGTGAGGCTCAAGCTAGAGTATGTAGGAAAGAGGGAGATTATTTCCCAGTAAAAGTAGGCCTTAGACAAGGATGTGTGATGTCACAGTGGATGTTTAACATATTTATAGATGGGGTTGTAAGAGAAGTGAATGCGAGGGTCTTGGCAAGAGGCGTGGAGTTAAAAGATAAAGAATCACACAAAGTGGCAGTTGTCACAGTTGCTCTTTGCTGATGACACTGTGCTCTTGGGAGATTCTGAAGAGAAGTTGCAGAGGTTGGTGGATGAATTTGGTAGGGTATGCAAAATAAGAAAATTAAAAGTGAATACAGGAAAGAGTAAGGTTATGAGGATAACAAAAAGATTAGGTGATGAAAGATTGGATATCAGATTGGAGGGAGGGAGTATGGAGGAGGTGAATGTATTCAGATATTTGGGAGTGGACATGTCAGCGGATGGGTCTATGAAAGATGAAGTGAATCATAGAATTGATGAGGGGAAAAGGGTGAGTGGTGCACTTAGAAGTCTGTGGAGACAAAGAACTTTGTCCTTGGAGGCAAAGAGGGGAATGTATGAGAGTATAGTTTTACCAACGCTCTTATATAGGTGTGAAGCATGGGTGATGAATGTTGCAGCGAGGAGAAGGTTGGAGGCAGTGGAGATGTCATGTCTGAGGGCAATGTGTGGTGTGAATATAATGCAGAGAATTCGTAGTTTGGAAGTTAGGAGGAGGTGCGGGATTACCAAAACTGTTGTCCAGAGGGCTGAGGAAGGGTTGTTGAGGTGGTTCGGACATGTAGAGAGAATGGAGTGAAACAGAATGACTTCAAGAGTGTATCAGTCTGTAGTGGAAGGAAGGCGGGGTAGGGGTTGGCCTAGAAAAGGTTGGAGGGAGGGGGTAAAGGTGGTTTTGTGAGCGAGGGGCTTGGACTTCCAGCAGGCATGCGTGAGCATGTTTGACAGGAGTGAATGGAGACAAATGGTTTTTAATACTTGACGTGCTGTTGGAGTGTGAGCAAAGTAACATTTATGAAGGGATTCAGGGAAACCGGCAGGCCGGACTTGAGTCCTGGAGATGGGAAGTACAGTGCCTGCACTCTGAAGGAGGGGTATTAATGTTGCAGTTTAAAAACTGTAGTGTAAAACACCCTTCTGGCAAGACAGTGATGGAGTGAATGATGGTGAAAGTTTTTCTTTTTCGGGCCACCTTGCCTTGGTGGGAATTGGCCAGTGTGTTAATAAAAAAAAAATATATATATATAATATATGAAATAACTTTTAAAAGCACTTAAATTTTGGAGTTTCCAGACATAATGGATAGATGTGGTGCTTACGGAGCTCACAGATAATGTAAACAAACTGGTGGGGGAGCCGCACAGCGAGTTTTGGTCATAATTTGAAATATCCGTATTAGCAGAACACCATAAATACCAACCACTCCAAAACTATATCCCCCCCTGCTTTAAGATAAGATAAGATAAGATTTCGTTCAGATTTTTAACCCCGGGGGGTTAGCCACCCAGGATAACCCAAGAAAGTCAGTGCGTCATCGAGGACTGTCTAACTTATTTCCATTGGGGTCCTTAATCTTGTCCCCCAGGATGCAACCCACACCAGTCGACTAACACCCAGGTACCTATTTGCTGCTAGGTGAACAGGACAACAGGTGTAAGGAAACGTGTCGAAATGTTTCTACCCGCCGGGAATCGAACCCGGGCCCTCCGTGTGTGAAGCGGGAGCTTTAGCCACCAGGCCACTGGGTCTTGATTCTGTCAGTTCCAGCTGCTTTACCTCCTTTCATTCTATGTAATGCCTCATGCACCTCCCCCACACTCGCATCCTGCTCTTCTTCTCTCCTAAAAGATGTTATACCCCCCTGGTTGGGCCACTTACCTTTATTTCCTCCTCTCCTCATCCCTTACCTACCCCTCCTCCTCATTCCATCCTTACCCATCCATCTTCCTTCTGCAACTTACCAAACCTCTGGTTAAAGAATTGAATTAGTGCTTATTGACTGCACAATAAGAAAGCACAAGTGTTAACGAGAAAAAAAACAGATGACTAACCAGGCAAAAAGTGCTTACAGTACTTAGTCTACTCCTGGTGTATTGGGAGAGTTAATGACAGGTTATTCCAGTAGGGGTCCCTGGAACCTGACCACAGAAATACTGTTAGAAATACAGTACTGAATGGTATTTTAATGGTATATATAATGGACTGCAATTAAAACCTTTTATGTATATTAATGATACATACTACTGAAAAGAATACAACTTTATATAACTTAAATGTCATTGAAGAAGGCAGCAAAGGAAAATTTTGCCCTTGTCCAAGAGAAGAAAATATACAATACTGTATATGAAATCCTATTACTGTATTTCAACAGAGCTAAATTAAGTTAATATTATGCCTTGTAAAGTATATCATAGTGTCCTGGGCGGTAGAGCAGATGAATAATTGGTTCCTTGTCTTCTGGAAAATCATGAGATACAACAGCAGCTCCCTCTCCTCGATCTAAATACATTACTCTCACACCAACACCTATAGCAGCTGTCAGTGCTACAATGTGAAGATGGTCACATTCTCGATACATTGGCTCTACTTCCTGAAAGCAACATTCTTTAATTATTAATTTTGATCATCATTATATGTCTTTATAAGCAAATGTGACAATGTTTTAGTACAGTGGACCCCCGGTTAACGATATTTTTTCAATCCAGAAGTATGTTCAGGTGCCAGTACTGACCGAATTTGTTCCCATAAGGAATATTGTGAAGTAGATTAGTCCATTTCAGACCCCCAAACATACACGTACAAACGCACTTACATAAATACACTTACATAATTGGTCGCATTCGGAGGTGATCGTTATGTGGGGGTCCACTGTACTTCACAAGATATCTTATGAACACATTTGACAGGCCGATCAATAGAGAATAATTTAATAACTAAGAGATGTGTGAGTACTCCATGAGGAGTGGAACACAATTCTTTCTTCGTAAGCCATGCCTGTCATAAGAGGAGACTAAAATGCTGGAAGCAAGGAGCTAGTAACCCCTTCTGGATAAATGACTAAATTTAAAGAGAGAAATTTTCGTTTTTCTTTTAAAGTCATCCTGCCTCGGTAGGATATGGCCAGTGCAGTGAAAAAAAAAAAAGGTGTGTGAGTATTGTTCACATGAAATATTAATGAAAATTATATTGCAGTACAGTAGTTAGCTTCCTTATTCCATCACATTTTAATAACTTTGGCCTAGCTAGAAAGACAATGGTATAAAAGGCTATTGTTTGTTTTCATATTCACTAAACATTCTATCACATAAAACCTACTGTCTGTTCTTTTAATCACTAGGCATGCCATTACAAATGCCAGATCTAAATAATTTTTAAGTTTAAGACTGAAAAGGACTACCCTATAACATCTTTCATTCAAACTAACCTGTTTACAGAACTCCTCAACTGTTCTGCCACCCTCGATGAAAAAGCTAAAAAATTCGGCATTCTTTTGGAGATGTGCCGAGATAAGAAGTCGCAGATACACTACTAGGTAGTCAGAGGTTCCAGCATCATTGCAAACAGCTTCTACACGCCCTACACTGCCACTGCCTTCCAAATCATTCACAACCTCCATAAACTGCAATAAAATATTAAAGGATTTAAGACAATGAATGAATATAATTAAAGTGCCAATCTATGTTATATAACAGTAATAAGCATATGATAATTATCTACATTTAATAGAATAAGCTTTATGTCTACAGAAAAAAAACAAGCATCTCTTCCATAATAAAACATATATCCCATCTTACTATAGGGATTTCAACTGTAAACATATAGAGAAGTCTCTTATATCACCTGTGTAGGGTCAGACAAAGGACATGTTCCCAACTTGATCACTACACTGCCTAAACATCATGATTTTTTACAGAATTACCTACCATGGCTTCAGGTCATACACAAGGCCCCTGCAGAGAACAGGTCAGACATACCAAAGAAGATACAAGCAGACACCCTTCAACAGTTGAAGGCCTTCTTGTCCACCAGACAAGGAACTCATAACTAGATAACTCTTCATTACACGTGTTGGTGGTAAATGCCACCAACACAGCCAACGTTTGTATTTACAATAACCTTAGAGAACACCGTTACTGCTTCCCTTTCCCATACCATAACACTAAATTAAATATTTGAAAGTTATTAGCAAATCTAAGAGCACATTTGACAGGCAGTTCAATGTCTGCTGACAAATTTTTGGTTCATCATTCTTTGCACTGTGCATAGAACTTTGTGATACGTGTTTGTGCTACTAAAGGCCACTCTGCCATTCCTTCCAAGCAGAATACAGGTCGGCCATCACTAATCCAGCAATCAGCTATCTGGTTCCATCAGAAATCCGGCACTAATTTCGACTAGCATAATTTCAAATTTCTGGAGTCGCCACATCAACCTGCTGCTACTGTCTGGTTGCACTACTTGCTACATAAGTCATTTCAATTTCTTTTTCTCCATTTATTGTTATAACGTGCTCACTTTTAGCCCAAGCCATGGTTCCAACGAATAAAAGAAATGCTTCTCTTTGTGTAAAGCACATACACAGTACATTGTCCATAAAAGATAAGGTGGCTTTGAAGCCACTGTCAGTTGCTATGAGCTCCTGAGTCTAGTGATGTGGGGGAATATGCTTTATTATTACACTAATATCAACACTATTCAATTCAAATTCAAAGATTAATTTCCTTATAAAGCTTACAATGTGTGGTTTACATGTTATAAGATTTTAATTACAAAGATGGCCACTAGCATGCCTTGGCACTTCGGGCAGACTAATACTAATTCTTATGCTATATTGATAAAAGTTATATTTGAGCAGTACATTTGAACATACTAGATACGCAATTAGATACATTCCCAGTTAGGTACATACATAATTAGGTTTAAAGTAGTTAGGTAGTACAAATCATATAACAATACAGTGGTACCCCCGAATTTCGAACTGCTCCCAACTCCACCAGTTATGTAAGCATATTATTGTAAGTGCTTTTGTAAGTGTATTTTTGGGGGACTGAAATGGACTAATCTAATTTACAATATTCCTTTTTTTTTTTCCAACAAACCGGCCGTATCCCACCAAGGCAGGGTGGCCCAAAAAGAAAAACAAAAGTTTCTCTTTTTAAATTTAGTAATTTATATGGGAGAAGGGGTTACTAGCCCCTTGCTCCCGGCATTTTAGTCGCCTCTTACAACACGCATGGCTTACGGAGGAAGAATTCTGTTCCACTTCCCCATGGAGATAAGAGGAAATAAACAAGAACAAGAACTAGAAAGAAAATGGAAAAAAACCCAGAGGGGTGTGTATATATATGCTTGTACATGTATGTGTAGTGTGACCTAAGTGTAAGAAGTAGCAAGGCGTACCTGAAATCTTGCATGTTTATGAGCCAGAAAAAAAAGACACCAGCAATCCTACCATCATGTAAAACAATTACAGGCTTTCGTTTTACACTCACTTGGCAGGACGGTAGTACCTCCCTGGGCGGTTGCTGTCTACCAACCTACTACCTATAACAATATTCCTTATGGGAATAAATTCATTCGGTAACGGCACTCGAACAGCCTTCTGGAATGAAGAAAGTTGGAAACTCAGGGTACCACTGTATTACAAATGGTAGATTTAGTAATGTCTTGGCATGATACATTGTTTCTATTAAAGCCATACTGGAAGAGTATCTCAGACAAACTTAGGATTAACTTAAGATTTAATAAGCTTAACTTAAGATTTAATATGCAATAGCTATATTAGGAATTCTATGTTTACAGTAATTTGGGTGGGTGTATGTGTAAATTATGGGGGAATTACAGATAACGAGAGTGAGTCTATATTGTTTTGGATGTGTTCATGATACAAAAAAGAGAATTGGGTGGTTTTCATTTGGGTAGCTGATGATGGGGTGTGTTAGGGAGACAAGATGTTTTTTAATGGTAGTTTTGAAAATGGTGGTCGAGTCCGCAGTTCTAGAGTTTTCAGACAAGGAGTTCCAGATTTTAAGCCCTCTTATGTACATCAAATTCTTGTAGAGGTATAGCTGGACACGGGGAATGTCATAGAGATTTTTGTGTCTGGTGTCATGTCTATGGGTCCTGTTGCAACTATCAAGAAATTGTTTTAGTTCAGGGTTAAAATTAGAGTTTATGGTTCTGTAAATGTAGGTTGCACAACAGTAGGTGTGAATGTTCTGTATGGTGAGTAGGTTTAGGTCTTTGAACAGTGGGGGTGTGTGCTGTCTTGCATGATAATTCTTACTGTGGCTTTCTGTTGGGTTATTATTGGCTTTAGGCGAGTTGCTGCTGCTGATCCCCATACACAAATAGCATAGGTGAGGTAGGGATAGATGAGTGAATAGTATAATTTGAGTAGGGCTGATTGTGGTACGAAGTAACGTCTCTGAGAGAGGATCCCAACTGTTTTGGATACTTTTTTTTTTTTGTTATTTGTTGGATATGGGTGTCGAATTTCGGGTTGTTGTCAAGGTGCAGGCCCAGGAATTTCCTTCATTATGTCTAGCAATAGGAGTGGTGTCAATCGTTACGTTCAGCTTGGCAGCACCTGCCTGTTCCCAAACAGAATGTAGAAGGTTTTGTCAGTATTAAGTGCAAGTTTATTAGCAGTCATCCAAGTCGATATTTTTACTAGTTCTTCGTTAACAATAGTGTTGGGGCAAAATTAGGGTGGGAGATGAAGTATAAAGTGTTGTGAAACATTAGGTAGATCATTGATGTATAAGAGGAAGAGCAGGGGCTCAAGGAAGATAGGTATTAATAAAGGGGATATTAATAAGGTCTTGAGGATGTCTCTCCAAGAGAGAACCCGCAGTAATGGATTTAAATTAGATAAGTTTAGATTTAGAAAGGACATAGGAAAGTATTGGTTTGGAAATAGGGTAGTTGATGAGTGGAACAGTCTACCTAGTTGGGTTATTGAGGCTGGGACTTTGGGTAGTTTCAAATTTAGGTTGGATAAGTACATGAGTGGGAGGGGTTGGATTTGAGTGGGACTTTCACATCAGAGCTTATTTCTTGGGTGGCATTGAAAATTGGGTTGGGCAAATGTTTTGTTAGTGGGATGAATTGTAAAGGACCTGCCTAGTATGGGCCAACAGGCCTCCTGCAGTGTTCCTCCTTTCTTATGTTCTTATGACACTTCCCTTTGGTAACTTCGGTATCCAGTGGTCTTGTTGATGAGGTTGTGTCCTTAATAGACATATTGCTGCCTGATAGTTAGGTAGGATTTGAAATATGTAAGTGTGTGGCTTATGCCAATGTTCAAGTTTGTGGAGTAGGATGCTATGGTCTACTGTATCAAATGCTTTCCTTAGGTTGATAGAGAGTCCTAATGGAAATTCATTTTTTCAAGTGCAGTGCAAAGCAGGTCTAGCAGTTTTACAATTGTGTCATTTGTGCTTTTTTTTTTTTTTTTTAAGGCAAATTGGCAGGGGTTGAGGATGCTTTGCTCTGTTATAAAAGAATATAATCTCTTGTGCATAAGCTTCTCAAAGATTTTGGATTTGGATAGCAATGGTAAGTTTGAAATTGGCCTGTAGGTGTTTATGTCTGTGGGGTTATCGCCTTTGTGTATTGGTGTGACCCTGGCTATCTTGAGTAGTGCCAGGAAAGTACTGGTTTCTAGTGATTTGTTAAAGAGTAATGAAATAGCAGGTGAGAGAACACGAGCTGCTTGTTTGTACAATAATGTAGGAACTTTAGCCAGATTTCTTGATATATTTTTAAGTGATTTAATAATTGTTGTGACTTCTGTGGGCTTGGTTGGTTTAAGATAGGAGGAGGTTGGGAAATTCCCATCTAAGTAATCGCTTGCTTGGGCGTTAGTACCTGGGATTTTACTGGCGAGATTTGATCCTAGGGTTGAAAAAGTCATTTATCTTGTTAATTGTATTAATAGGATGTTGTTGGACTTCATTTAGTTTGGCTAGGACAATATCCCTAGTTTTTTTTTATATATGGGTGCCTAGAATACGAGTGTCTTCCAGGTCTTTTTTACATCTCCTTTTGTTTCGGTGAATCTACTGGAGTAGTACAATTGCTTGGCTTTTCTCATTAGGTTGGTTAGAACTGATGTGTATTGTTTAATAATAATTTTGTTTATTAAGTCCTGTCTATATTGTTTTTCATACAGATTTTTTTATCAATGGATCTTAGCATGCTGTTGGTTAGTCATGGGCAACCTAGCTGTTTATTCATAATCTGTTTCATTTTTATGGGACAATGTTTGTTATACAGTCTAAGTAGTTTGTTTAGAAATACAGTGGACCCCCGCTTTACGATCACCTCCCAATGCGACCAATTATGTAAGTGTATTTATGTAAGTGCATTTGTACGTGTATGTTTGGGGGTCTGAAATGGACTATCTAATTCACAGTATTCCTTATGGGAACAAATTCGTTCAGTACTGGCACCTGAACATACTTCTGGAATGAAATAATATCGTAAACCGGGGGTCCACTGTACATGTATGTCTATCCAATCATCGATACCATTAGCTTCGGAGAATTCTGTAGGCCAGTCAATCGTACCTAGCTCTGCTGTGAAGTTAAAAGAGACTTTGTTGTATTCCAGTGG